ATTTGGAGGCACCTTGCGTAACAAATTTGGAGAGCATTAAAGCAGATATAGTTCTACAACACCAGCACCAACAACAATAACAATAACAACAACAATAATAAAAGGCTATTTGCTGTCTAGTTAGCTAATGTAAAAGCATATGATCTATGGCTAGTTCATAGTTTTATCTCTGAGAACCAAGGCTGTAAGTCGCTTAGCAAGCTGATTATAGACAATTTGAATTTGTAGGGGAAGCTTTACTGATCTTAAGTGGCAGGTGAATTCATGAGAATCGCAAAGGAAGGCAGTGCTTTACAGCTTTGTTAAGCTGCTTCATATCCCTAATTAAACAAGGGCATTTATAAAGCAGCTTAAGGTATATACTGAAAGCTTTACGCTGTTAATAATTAATATAATGCATAAAATAAGTTGCTAAGAATTTTATCACAAAGAAACGTTATATATCATCACATGAGAATCACAAAAGGAGCCTTGATCTCTGGCGTTAGAGTAGCATGGCTAATCGGTCTTTGCCTATGCCCATGGGTGGTCCATGGAGCTGCCCCTGCCTGTGGGGATGCCTGTGCAGTTGGCCACACGCCGTTCCGCTTTGAGCCAGATCAGCGAATGTATTCATTATTCATTATTCATTGATGGACAGCAATGCGGAACCAGAGATTAGCGGGCTTTCCTTAACGCCAAATACATATAAATATGATGCCGCCAAAGCTGGGAGAGTACGAGCGCCTGGAGCAACAACGCCCCATTTGCCGGCTTCGATTTGGAGTTTTGAAGTTTGAGCCATTCAGTTCTTTTCAATTTTTGCATAAACGAAATGATGACAGCGAATGCCGTCAAATAATTAAGGCTAATTCGACAATGCGCATTTGGTCTTTGCCAGCTTTAGCTTGGCTTGGCTCTTGGCTTGGCCTGCTGCCGAAAATATTCAAACAATCATTAATCACAATTTTTTTTTTTTGTTCTCTCTCTTTTATTTTTTTGGCAAGCGTGCGGAATGAGCTAAACAAATTATTTGTCACACAGTGCGCATCGCATGGCAAAACAAAGCAATTAGCTAATGAACGCTTATCGCATTTCGGTATCTCGACTTCACAGCGTCACAGCTTCACAGCATCGGGGCACACACACGCGACCCGCGATGCTGTTGCCACTCTCGATCCCAAAAAGGCAGTTGACCCGGAAGTGCGGGAGCTGTTCCACTTACAGCGCAGCTTCATGTTCCGATTCATATTCATGTTCATATTCATATTCTAGTGGAGTTAACTTTGCTCTATGACATTCCGAAACAATGGAACCGGACAAGCTGACAAGCCGTCCATAATCCGGTACATTTTATGCGCCGCGCTATAATTGTCTTGCATAGCATCTATAATTTATTATGTAAAGTCTTTAAGTCTTCTTAGCGCAGCATTCGAATCAACTTGGCTTTAAAACTCCTTCTTTTTTTTTTGTCTACGTGCATAAATAATTTTTTGGTTCCGCATTGCTGTCCATCCATTGAGTTATTCATTGCTCTGATAAGCATTGACTACTTGAGGCCTGAAGTTACCATGGATACAGGTCATCTGTTAGTCAGCTATTCTCGTCCAATCTACTGCTGCTTGTTCCATGTATTTTACACATCAGGTATATATTTATTCTTTAATGGATTTTTGCTAATCTTTTCTATTTCTGGCTGCGTTTTTATTAATAATAAATCGCTACAAAATGACGCGGGCAAATTTTATTTTTGTATACACTGAACAAAATGGGTAAATGTAATTGAGCGCTAAGTATCAGGGAATAAAGAGACATGGATCGGAATAAAGATCTCAATGGATAAACTCGTGTCTGCATCTCTGATAATATTGATAAAAACTATCATAATGTTACTGAAGGAATAAGAATGCAGAAGAAGAGTTACGAATGAATTATTTATGCTTTCAATGAGCTCAGGGTATCTGTCAGTCGTACACGCTCGACTAGAGCACTTCTTTCTACTTGCTTAGTAATAAATCGCTGCAAAATGATGCTGGCAAGTTTCATAATATTATTGTCATAATTGTTGATGTTGTTCTTCTTGTTGTTGTTGTTGCTGTTATTGTTGTCGTCGGTGTTGTATTCTTTGTTGTTAATGATATTGTCAGCGTTGGCATCGACACCGCATCAGGTGAATTTGGTATTGGTTCTCCTCGATCTCCAGCTATTGTTACTGAAGTGCGATTGTCGAGCATAAGTGGGCAAAAGGCCTTTTGTTGGATTTCTTCTTAAATACAGATAATACTGGATAATTAAATAGCATTACATAGTCAAATTGATACAAATATATTTTGGTCTTCAACTTCCGCGTAAAATATATAAAAAACAGATCACTGGGGTTTTTTTATTTACTTTTTTTTTTCTTTGCGTACATGCCCCAGGGAATAGCAGTTAGTGGAGTAATTAAATTGATTTTGCTTAGCGAATGCTTGATTACAAGCTTAAAGTTGTTCAATTAAATTTAATGCACACATTTATTAGCAGAATAAACATTCAATTTCATTATCTTTATTTGTTCGTCAGTTGTGCGTCTTCTGCTTCTTCTTCGTCTTCTTGTTCATCATATTGTTCATTAGCTTATTTTTATTTTTAGAAATCAAATATAGAGAGCTCTGCGGTTTATATGTTGCTATTTTTAAAGTAATTCTCCTCACCGATTTAAGACTTCTATTTATAAATGTAAAGAAATAATGGCTACGAATTAGCTGAACTTTAAGTTTGGCTCAACTTCCGCGACTGTGGGAAGTCGCAAAAATAAAACACAACAAAACAAAAACAAAACGATAATAAAACCAAAAATATAGTAATGACAATATGGCTGGAACTCAAATTACAAAAACTTAGCTCCGTTTAGAATGCGACTTGGATAGCCTTTAACATGGACAAGCCAATGTTTGGGTCAAGTGTGCACACGATTTGTGTTGCTGCTGCTGTTGTTTATGCCTAACGACAATCCATTAATTCTGTAAATGCTTAAGTGTATTAATTAAATTTATTACGTAAACGCTGCAGTTAATGCCTCACTCGATGCCGGACAATTAATCAAAGGTGACAAAATCGATTACCTTGATGTGAATTAAGGCAAGCTCTTTTTGCATTTGGGGCAATCGAGTATTTGAAATATAATACTCAATGTATGTAAGATATAATACGGAAAATGTATTACTAAGTAACCAATAAATAAAAACAAAATAAATAATGCATAAGTATAAAATATAGTACTAAATATAAAGTAAATAGTAAATATATATAGAGTGTAGAATATTTACATAATGAATCTATACTAAATATACATATATATATAATATATTTAGTATAGATATAATATATAGCCCTAAAAATGAGAACAAAATAATAAAGTATACACTAACTACTAATTAATCATACACTAGATGTATACACTTATACTGAGGTTTTTTTTCTATAATATGTAAATTGGCTAAATGTTAATAAAGCCTGCTTATGGCTTAAAGAGTTCTTTGGAGTGAACACCCACTAGAAGGTAGAATGCTTGTGGCGTTTCTTACAACTATATTGTTGGGTTGACAAGTTGGTCAATGGGTTATTATGATAATGAACTCAATTACGGCACAACAGCTTTAGCCATCATAGCCGGACGACCGCCATAGCCAGCCGCTGTTGTAATTTGCTTGGCCTTGGGCCGCCGTTGCTGTTGCCGTTGCCGTTGCCGCTGCTGTTGCTGTTGCTGTTGCTGCCGCTTGGCAGATTTCACAGCTAGAGAAACTTCGTTTCGGTTTCTATTGAGAGTGTATTCTGTTTTACACAATGCCAACCGCTCGACAGAGCAGCTGAAGAAGCAGTCGTAGTAGTAGCAGAAGCACTAATTGTAGTTGAAGAAGAAGAAAAAGAAAAGAAATAGTAGGCAAAAGCCACAGTTGGCCAGGGCTGGAGGTCAAGTCGGCGCTGATCGAGTTAAGTAAATCAAGTTTACTTATAAGGCACAGCCGAGCAAACAGGGCATTAAACGAGAGAACATACAATTAAACCAGAGCCACTTTTTTACAAATTAATTAGAATTATTCAGTTGTTAATTAAGTGCGGAGTCCACCTTTCTCGCAATCCGCCACCCAACAGTTGATTTATGTACAATATTCAAGCTCGAATACGAATTCGAATTCGCTTCTTATTTGAACTTTTCAGTTGCGCCAACGAGTTCAAGCACATAGCAAATAATGACCGAAGGCAAACTAAATGCAAAAATTAAATTCCTTAAAGCAATTATGCGGAATAAGTACATGAAATTATGTAGCTTCAATGGCCAATTGTTCGAGCAAACACAATATTTTGCAAAAAGTCTTTAAGTTCCCAGTGAAGCACTTGATATAGCGAATATGCCATGTTTGGAAGACAGGGCAAATAGCTACTGTAAAGAGATTGCTTATTGAATTCGCGTCGCGAGAAATCAATCAACAAATGATTGCGCTGAGATATTAGTTAGGTACCGAGCATTGTCGTATGACCTTCATTAAAATCAAACACATTTTGCTGTGCGAACTTGAGCCGTTCGGACGTAATTACTGTCAAGCGGAATCGGATACTGAATTCCATGCCAAAAAAATGCAAATGTTGACCGAGGAACTACCTCGAAAAGTCCAACGACTCTCGTGCCAAGTGCCAAATGCGGCGACAATTAGGCTTAACGAGTGCTCAATCACTCACAACTGGCCCAGAGAGATAAGCTTCTGCATTTACTGGCACGTTTGGGCATTGAAATGGTAACAAAATCCGGCTGCCTCGGGGTGCGTTAATTTCAAGTAGACGCAAATCAGGGGCAGCTCAATGCGATAAGCCAACAACTGTAGCCAGCTGAATGTGAGCGATCGTTATTTTTTTGAAAACAACAAAAGCAAGATATATCGATAGATATATTTATATCGATGATAGACCCACATTGTATCGAGTGTGCAGCCCTCGTTTTTTATTAACATAACGATGTTGCCTCATAGTGTGCCCAGATATTTTAGATTGTATTGCTGCAAACAACGTGCTACTTTTGATTTTAAGCATTTTAAAAATCAGACAAAATGAGCGGCAATTCGAAAAAGGAGCTAATCCTTTGTGACTATTGTCAGATCGGGAAGGATGCAAATCAGATTTACACGGCCAGAAAACAATTCGCTGGCTGCAAAATCGTTGACATTCTACAAAGTGTCACCAAGTTGACCGTAAGTACAGTCTAAGATATGAATTGATTTCCATATAGTACATTATATGTATGTATACATTAATAAATATGCATTTTTATATTTCAGATACCAGTCTCAACACCAGTTAAGTTATGCAGTCTATGTGCTTCCACTTTGCATGCCACAACCGGCGCTATCGCAAGAACAGTTGAAATGGTTTCCAAATTGTTGCCAGCTGCAAAGAAGCAGAAACAACAGCAAATTGAAACTGTTCTAGTTCCTGATGATGAGGGCGATGCAGAGCCGAAAAGACGTTTGTCAATCGTTGACAGTCCTAAAGTTTCAACTAAACAGCCAGTATCGGCGACACCTAGCAAAACCGATAAGAAAATCATCAAAGACATTAATGGCACACCCACAGGCGTACAGCAGAGTCCAAAGACTCTGCCAGCTAAGGCAAAGTTGCCACAGACAAGCACGCCAATAACAACAGTGCCATCTACTCCAAAGAAACAACAAGACGACCTCGAGAAGAGTCTGCAGAATTCAATTAGGCTAACAACGGCCAAGGATGTGCCCAAAAAGAACAAGGAATTCAATCAGCTGTTCGGTAAAATCGACGATACTGTCTCAGACTCTGAGGAAGAGGATGAAGAAGAGGAAGAAGGTGGCAACGAAAAGGTAGATCTGAAGAGCATCGCTACCGGCTTCGAGTGCAAACTGTGCGACTTCACGTCCACCAAGCCTAACCAAATGAAAAAACATTTAAAGGAATTGCATGGCCAAAAGCGGCCCCGCATATATAACTGCTTGAAGTGTGCCAAGGGATTTGGTGTACTAAAATCTTTAAAGGCACATCTGTTGACACATGGCATTATCGAGGAAAAGGATGAGAAACAAGCTGCTTCCGATCCACAGCTGGCAGTCTTAACTGCCCTAAAGCCAAAGCAAAAGCCGCTAGATGCTGTCGCTAAAAACGAATATACTTTTGCCGTCACAGACACCAACTCGTCGACACCAAAACCCGCCGGGCAGCCGGTTCAGCCAGAGATGCAGTCCACCAAGTATCAGTGCGAATTATGCCAACTTGAAGTGGACGAAGGTAAGTTGTTACATGATCATTTAAAGACTGTGCACAACATCGACCGTCCCAAGGTATTCAAATGCGAAGCGTGCAACAGTTACTTTATGTACAAAAAAACAATGGATCGCCACTTTAAAGTCAAACATATCGACGGTCATGGGACAGAGGCTACCAAAAAAGAATCGCCGGTTAAAATTAAGATTCGACGCAAAACTGTGTCAATCGAACGCAGCCCAGCTAAAACTATGAAAGCCGGCAGCACACCATTGCCAGTAAAAATTGCAGCCAGGCGCAAGACTGTAGCGGCAGAGTTGAATAAAGGTAATGAGGCAGCTGCCCAGATAATGTTGAACTCGCCAGTTATAATTCCGAAAAAAGAAGCAGAAAAAAACGACTACCTTATTGATGAAGCCATCGTTGAAGTCCTTGACGAACTTATAGAGGATGTACCAATGCCAAACGAGAGCAAATCCAATAATGATGCAATTGCAATTGTCGCAGACGAATCAAAGAAGATTAAGAAACCAACACAAGTGCTCAAACAGTCGTTTGACTCGCTGTTGGAGTCACCTATCAAAAATAAATCCAAAACTAAGTCCATGCAAGCCCCAGCCACGCCCACCCAGCAAAACAGCGTGGCCACAGACGAGGTAAATAAACACAAATCACTCATTGATATAGATTTGTTGGACTCGACACAGATCAGCAAAAAGAGTAAGGCCAAAAAAGATTTTGATGCACTAGACTCATCACAAGCTACAGAGAATGATATAAACTTATCAGAGACCATGAATGGATCACCAAAGAAATCGAGGAAGCGCAAGCAACGAGAGGAGGAGTCATCACATGCGGATACGGCCGATGAGGTTCAAGTGTCCCTCACTGCTGAGCTGAAGCCGCTGAATAATTCTAAGGCAGGCAAATTGAAAGTGGGAGATGTCATTGATCTGATCGATGAGATCAATCCCAATGTCAAGCCACTCAAGCGCATAAAACACGACTCACTGGAATCGGAGCTGAGCTGCAACATCTGCAGCAAGGTCGTTGGCTCCCGCAAGCGTCTCGATTCGCATATCCGTAAGAAGCATACCATACAACTGACCTGTCCCAATTGCAAGGGCACCTACGCCGACAACTTGGAGTACGTTAAACACTTCTCCTTCTGCAATGCAGTCGATGGTCTGCCGTGCGGCATTAAGAACTGTGAAAAGGTTTTCGCTGCGGCAAATTTCTTGAGCTCCCACTTGAATAAGAAGCACAAGGGTTCCAAATAATTAAGGTAAGCGATATTGCGAAGGTTGTTTGAAGAATATTCAATCATAGCGCACATCTTTGCTTTACAGATCTTATATCACATCAGTTCAGCTGGCCTTAGAGATGCCCCATTGACTGAATATTTTATTTTGTAATTTCTGTTTAAGGAAAATGAAATCATTTGTAACGAGTACAAAACCTTAAATGAGCCGACACAACTATCAGCTAAATGGAGACATTCAAATTATGGAAATATATTTTTAGTTTTTTTTGTTTAAATATATATATATATATTGTTCCGACTTTCATGTAACAATAAGCGCAAATGTAGTTTACAAGAAGGAAAACCAACTATGATTTGAGAGCAGTTTATATAGCAGAGCACGTTCCATATATGTACATATATATTAAATGTATATACTTTTTGTTTTCTACATGCGTTGCTATGTGTGTTTTATGAGTAGCCTTAAGACAAAACCCCAACAAAAATTGTTTACGCAGAACCCGCGCGTAACTCAACGAATAATAAAAACAATTTACTAGTTCAACTTTTCAACTTAATGTGTACTCTTGAATGGATTATGATGATGCGATGATGCGGATGCAGAGGTTGCCTGTGCCGGTGACTGCTTTGTTTCGCGATCAGGATCCCACCTTGCTGTGAATCTCAGCTTGGGCCACCTTCATAACATCGAGTGCGCCCTTCTTAATGAGCCGCTCGGCCAGAGTTTGGCCAAGCCAATTGGCCTTCTCGTAGATGTCCCTGCTGTGGCATGCATGCTGATAGAGACCACAAAACAAGTTGTCCACGTCCTCAATGAGCACGGGCAGCTTGAGCTGCTGCGGCTGTGGCTGCTGCTCATCGGCATAGTCGAACATTTGCACCGTCTTTTGTAGGAACGGGCATTTGGCGTGACCCGCTTTCTCTTGGCTAACTTCAAGGCCACTGCCTTGGTGCATGGCAGAGAAAGGACATTTGGAAGACGATGGCGTTGTTGCTAACGTCGGCGTCGGCGCCGTCGATACATTGTCCGGCTCGTCACCACTGCTGGGCGGTTGCACAGGCAACGCGGTCATGTGAGTGACCGGACACTTTCCCGCACTGGCGAACGAAATTTTCGTCTCGTTGTCAACGAACGGACACTCGCCCATGAAATCCTGGCCAACATTCATCTGCAGCGGGCAGTGAACCGCTGTATTAGCATTGCTGGTGTCAGCATCGCCACCGCCACCGCCACCACCTGCATCCCCGCCAGCACCCAGAGCATTGTTATTGTCGTGACCAACAACGGGGCACTTGCGTGCCAGGTCGATATGGCGCTCGAGTAGCTCCTCCATGGTGTAGCCAGTAACAGAGGCATCCTCACATATGACCGGTGGACTGCCCTGTTGGCGTGGACTATTCGTGCTGGAATCGGATCCCGAGCCAGACCCATTGCCATTTCCATTCTCATTTCCATTGCTAAGCGTGTTGTTACCATTCCTTGCACGCTTAGTTGCTGGCGGGGAGTCGCAGCTGTTGCTGTCATTATTGTTGGCCACTTCCTGGGCCTGCTGCTGCTGTTGGTCATTGCCGCCGGCACGCTTACGCCGATTCACATCTGTTTCCGATTCATTTAAGGCACAATCCAAGTGCTCGCGTATCTCAATAGCACCATCCAGACTCCACACGGCGCCTGTAAGCGACAAGCCCACTTCCTCCTCCTGCTTCAGCTGCTGCTGCAGCTGCTGTCGGTTGCCATTGCTAATATTGCTTGGCTCACCTTTCAGTTTGCTCCAGACAGCAACTGGAGCTGAGCAGCCGCCGCCCAAAGTTTTCAAGAAGCTGCGTTCGGCCAAAATACGGCACGTGGTATTTAAGCACATGAGCCGCTGCAGCATGCCCAGCACCTGAGCATCATTGGCCCGACACTCGACGGCCAGAGCGCCCTGGCCGACGGCATAGAGCAGGTCCGTGGGCTCTAGCACCTGGCTGATGCGATTCATCCAGCCCATGCGCACGAGACCCGCCTGCGCCAGTATAATGCCCGAAAACTTGGAGTCTTTGGCATCCAGCTTGGCCAGGCGCGTGTTCAAATTGCCGCGAATATCGCACACAACCAAATGCGGATACTGGCGTCGAATCTGTGCTGTGCGACGCAGCGAAGAAGTGCCTGTTGATAATGGATGAGTTAGCTGAGAACTTTTGGCTGCATGAGTTGCTTAGCTTACCAATGACACTGCCTTTGGGCAGCGATGCAATGGTGTGACCCTTGAGATGCTCGCGCAGCACCAACGCATCACGAGCGTCCTCACGTTCCAGCACCGCGCCCACAGCCATGCCCGTTGGCAGCGCTGTGGGCAGGTCCTTCAGCGAATGGACAACAAAATCAACGCCGCCATTACGTAGTGCATCCTCCAGATCCCGGGTGAATAGGCTCTTCTCCCCAATCTTCGGCAGCGAAACGTTCAGCACACGATCTCCGAATGTAGACATCGTATCTGCAAAATCAACAACAGATGCAAATTAGTTGTTTTCTTTTTATTACCACTTCGATCAACTTTATAGGTGTTTCCCTGACATTCCAGCTGATATCATTTGTTATATAATCAGAGATAAAAGTGGCCCCGTTCAATCAGGCGTGACACGCAAACGAACTGAGTTCAGCTCCCCCCCATTCAAACAGAAAACACAACACGATAGCGAATACTCTTTTATCAGCACGCAATGCTACAAATTCTAGAGCTTATCAAACATTGAATTTGCCTACGAATGGGCGCTATTTAATTGCACTTTACGAACTCAAATTGTTGGATATAAATATAAATATAAAAAGCAATATCTAAACGGGATGTCGCGTGCTGCTCAGGGTTCTCAACATTAACTAAAATTTAATTATTAAATGGTGTGCGAAATAAAGCGAACTGGCCTTAACTATTTATTATTTTTTATAGACACCCTTAAAACTGAATATAATATTATTTACTAAGGCTTTCAATATCCATAAACAAACATATTACAGCCGACTTCAGCCATACTTAAAACAAATACTACTGTGTAAATATTTATTATAATAGAAATGAAATACATGTAGGAAAAACGTTAACCCTATTTGTATTTATTCACAAGGCCAGATAATAAATAGATTTCAATAGATGCTTATATTATGTCAGCAGCACGTTTGTCAACCTGCGATAAGCTGCGAAAGTGTGCTTTTAATCTATAAACAACAATCGTTAAAGTTATTTAGCAAAAGAGCGAAACAAAAGCTAAAAGTAAAAATTAAAAGAAAGAAAGACATTGACATTGAGCGAAATTTTGGCAAAAGGCACGCGAATGAGACGCAACCGAAATTTAAAAGATAATGTGAATATAAAATTAAGCAAATCGGATGCGCCTCTCCAAATAACTTGAATTCTGCATAACTGCAGTCGCAACAATGACTATGAGAAATTGACTTTATAAACTGAATAAATTTAACTCGAGTATTGCTAAATAGATAAGAGAGAATTCATGAGTCATGGTGAAACATAATAAAATATTAATAGTAACGCACGTTTGCAAGAATTATAAATACTTGTGTAAACAAAAATAATGAGAAAATGCATTTCCTATTGGAAACTTTCACTTACGTATCTCGAACTTTTGCTTCGGATAGAGTTTCTGCAGTCTGCCGACGACATGTTTAGTCTGAATGAGCGCTAGCTATAGGAGAGAAGAAAGAGAGGCAGAGAGAGGAGCATAAGTAAATGCATATGCTAATGCTAAATGTAAACGAACTGTAATTAGAGAAAAGAAGTAGGAGAGGGAGAGAGAGTGAGAGCGAGCAATTTAGTGTAATTAATGGTGAGTTCAAATAAGACTCGCTGTCGCAGCTGCTGTTAGATTTGTTGTTGTTGCCAATTGGCAATTCGAATTTTAATTAGCAACTATATTTAAAATATATGTATGTGAGTGGCCTTGATATGGCTGAACGGCAGGCTAAGACCCAAGTCAAGCCAATCCGCGTCAAGCACGACTCAAATGGCTAGCAAAATATGGTCAGAGTAATAAAAATATACAAAAACTCACAGATCAAGCGACAGGCGAGTGCGGGCAGTTAGACATTATTATTGCGCCAGCTTAATGAGAGCAACACCAACAACAACAGCAACATCAATAGCAGAAGCAGCAGCCCCGACAACAACAAATTTAAGCAATGCGTGAGAGCCGCACGAATCTGAGCTGCTGTTGTATAACACTAACCAAAAAAATAACACACAGTCCCAGTCAGCAACAACAAGCAGCGGCAGCGGTGTTTTGTTTTTGTTGGGCGAGCAACAAGTCTTGCTCTTGCATAAATATGTGTGAAGCGAGTTGTAGCGGAAGAAAGAGAGGGAAGGTGCAAGCAGTAGACGGATGAGCGTATACGACATGATTGAAATTCAAATGAAAGTTGAGCAAATCGAATGCACATATTTCAGCACACTCACACACACATATATTGACTTTGACTTGTATACATATTCTTTACCTCACTTTTTCGTGAACCAACACGAATGACCTTTTCCTTGTCCTGCGTAGACATCTTATGTTTCTGTTATTATTGCACAATTATTACTATTAGACAGGCGTGTGTGGAGGTGGTTTAGTGAAAGTGTCTGTGGCGAAGACAAGCAGCAGTACCAAAGGTTTCTTTTTGGGTCACAACTTTTGCACAGTAGCAGCGATGAACGATGAATGAAAACTTAAATTCACTGAGTATTAAACACACATTCTTGTCTTTCTGTCATATATACTTTGTACTAGACGGTCTTAAATCCAACCAATGAACCTAAAATTAAGGTTTTATGCTGGACGATACTACGTCCGAGCAAAGAGCAATGCAGCAAGTGATTGGCAAACTGACTGCCATGCGACAGGGGCCTTGATAGGCGATTACTCGATAGCTGTTGAGTAATATTCGATCTATTAAATACTAAATATATCACTGAAATAAAGCGAGTGTCACCAATCGATATCTGCCAAACAGCTGGTTGGAAAACTAATGAAAACAACGCGCTGTTGTCATGTTTTTGGTAAGCTATGATTTATTTAATAAAGGAAACTATTAAAAACATATTAAATTATTTACTTTAGTTTTTAAGCCGTCCCATGGGGACGCTTGGTGATCGTATGCGAGTAGTGCGTGAGCGCCTAGGCGATGAATTTCTGGACAAGCTTGACGAACTGCATATAAATGCTCTGCGTACTGGCCTAGTGTCCAGAGCGGATTTGCAAGAAGCATATCGCATGGCGCGTGACATGAACACCAATCATAATCGGCTAAACTTCTTGTGGCTTTTGGGAATTATTTTTTTTATAATGATAGCGACACCTATTTTCTATGAGACCATTTCGTTTCTGCTCGGCGTGCGCTGCTTCTTGCCGAATAATAATTTGGTCTGGGAGGCAACGCGTCCAATCAGCGATTGTGAGTTCTGCAAAGGTGTTGTGGCGCCCCTAATTTTACCTAATCTGACGCGCGAAGACTTTGCTCGCTATGCCTACTCCTCTCGACCAATCATTGTGAAAAAGGCTATTGCTCATTGGTCAGCAAAGCAAAGTCTCAATTATACATCAATTAAAGAGCTATATGAGAGCGTGCCGGGCTCTTTGGATACCGCATGCCAGTTCCAGCATTTCAATTCGGATCTTAAGTCGTTGCGCGACGTTTTCAAGATGTCGCCAAAGCGCGTAAATCTAAGCGAAGGATCGCCCTGGTTCGTGGGTTGGAGCGTTTGTCAGCCTATGGTACTAGCAGAGCTGCGTAAGTTGTATCCACGACCACACTTTCTGCCAGTGGATGCCGAAATGCCAAGCACGGACTACATTCTGATGGGCTATGAACAGGGCGCCGTCATGCATGTAATTACCACTGAGGTCATGTCTTGAACAAGCTGTGTAAGCGTTTTTCTATCTCTCACAGTTGGACTATATTCCACGTCTAATGTGGCAGGCACAGCTGCAAGGCAACAAAAGTTGGTTTTTGTCTCCCGCGCCTGAATGCGACCACCAATGCCAGTCGTTTTTCTTCTATGTGGAACCAGGCGATGCTGTACTGGTGGATACACGCATTTGGTATTATGCTAACACCATACCCAGAGGACAGTTCTCACTCACTGTACAGTCCGAATACGGATAGATTTTTAATAATTAGAATAACGAGTCAGCTGAAAGTAGACTTCCCAATTTATCAATTATATTAATATGAAATTGTTTTATAAATATTTTAAACTTCGCGGCTTTCGATAGCTTAAAATACTATATCGATTAATCGAGCACAATCCAATTGCAACACACCTAAGCCTTTGACGCGCGCTTATATTTTAGAAAACGAAGACGAAAAAGTAAAAATTTACAGACATGGACGAAAACTTTAATTTTAGTGTGTTTTCTTCGAAATGTAATGAGTACGTCCAGCAGCACCCAATCAATTTGAAAGAGCTGTGCATCACAAAATCGGTTATAAAGACAAATGATTTCTTTAAAAGTGTCGAAGCCGAGGAAGCTGAAATGGCACCGGCATTGTCTAACAAAGAGCTTGGCACAATGGATGAATATGCAGAGCTGTTCAAAGTATTTGACACATATCCCACTAATCTCCAGCGTTTGCCGAAAAAACGTGATCTGCAACGCACCAACTCCGCAATTCTCAAGGGGAATGATACCATACTGGACCAAACTGCTATTAACAGTTCAAATGTATCTCTAGCACCTATCTGCAATCGCTTGGATGATCAGCCAAGCGCAGCAAAAGTGTACAGCGACTATAAGAAGTTTCAACAGAAGTTACGACAAGCATACAATGAAGCTGCTTCCCTAGAAAAGGAACAAACTAAATGGTTGGCCAAAATCGCACAACTGGAAATGTTTGTTCAACAGCTGGCGAAACTAATGCCCTGCGAGAGAGAGGCGCCAGATGCCTTCACGGCTGAAGAACAGAGCAAACTTGCTACAATTGCAGAGAACATGATGGAATTGAATTATCTGCGTGCCAACAGTCTCACCCAATTGGTCAATCCTATGGACACGACTGGGCGTCAGGACACTTTTGTGGATGTTCTAAACTACGCTCTGATGCAAATAAACTCATTCTGTACTCCCTAAATATGTGTTTGTTTTCCCGTAATTTTATTGTAATGTAATATTATCCAGACATTTCGGATGTGTTTTGAAGCCAGCTATTTATGTTATCGGTTATTGCTGGATATGCGCGCTGCGACCTTTGGCTGTCATGTTCATCGACTTAATTGTAATTTAACGTAGGTTTTTATTTAAATTTTATATATTCTTCAAATTGAATTTGATGCCTTTCATTTAAAATTAATGTGTAAACTTTTAAGGTTTTCGCATTACATCTATTCATATACGTCCTCCTTGTCGGCGACGTATTTAATGATGTCGGCAGGTTTCAGAAGCTTCTCAGCATCCGAGTCTGGAATCTCAAAGCCAAACTCATCTTCCATGGCCATGATAACCTCTACATGATCCAACGAGTCCAAGCCCAGATCATTGATGAAGTGCGAGTTCACATTGAGCTGTAATGATGGCAGAGTTATAAATTGCAATTAAGAAATAAGTTTTAGTATTATGGCAGTTTTGTTCGTTTCTTTCGACGGCACAAAAGATTAATTCAACTGGCAAAGGCAATTATATCAATCAATTAAATGCGCCTAGGCCGAGAGCTTGGTCTATTACCTTGCTGGGATCGATCTTATCGTACAGCTTCAACACAAGCAAGACACGCTCGTTGATAAGCTTCAGCGACAATGGCGGTTTCGCCGAATAACTGCGCAATGATTGCGTTTGCCAGCGACATCTGCTGTCCTGCAATGTGCGCAGCCCCGAAAAGAAAAGAACAAAAGAAACCAAGTTAGTGGATTCTCGTATAGATCACTTTACCTTATCGGCAGTCACTTTGTCGTAGGCTGATACGACTTTCAACACACGATGCTCAATTTCTTCAAGAGTGTTCCTCGCCGAATAGTTGCGAATTGTAACCATCCGGTTCTGTAATAATGTAATATACAAAATTTATCAAATTTGCTCCAGCCTTACAGAATTGCCGGTAAATAGCTCCACAAGAGGGACTTTATCACAAAAATATGCATGTGAAAATAAGCGATGCAATCTTACGATTGACATTGCTGGACACCATTTCTTCCTTTGACAAATCCAAGTACGGAAATCCTCTCCCGCAAATAATTTCAATACCCCGTCAAGTTTTTCACAATGAGGTTAGGGACGCAGCTAATTAACTTTTAACACCCGAACGCCTATTACATATGCCTTAAGCTAATTATTGGGAGCTTACTTGAGTGAGTTGAGTGCCAATAGCAGGCATAGCAATTCGATGCATCATCCTAGACTGTGTCTGTACAACGGTTTTGGCAATGCGAACTGTGTTCAGGGCAGCCGCAAATCGGCCGCAGCTACGTGCGACTTGTGTGAACGACATCTCTTGCTTAATCTGGAATACAAATTAAATATAGTAATTTCTGATTGCCTACAATGCGATGTGCACTCGCTTATAATAATATTTACACCGAATTTCACACAAAACGGGGGCTCAGATTATGTAAAAGTTCTGGAGGAGCAAAGGCAGCACAGATGTTGAATAAGTATCGATACCAAACTTATTAGAATCGATGTATTATGAAGGCGATTCGTTGTGAACGACTCGAATCAAACAGCTGCCATTCAATAAAAATCATTTACTGCTATGTTATAAAATATTTATGTGTAACAATATTTTGCCTGAACTTTCCTGTGTGGTGTGTATTTTATTTGACTTAGATAAATATATAAAGATCACATACACATATATTACTCTCTTTTTAATACCAGTCATATCTTGTTTAAATTTCGCGCCTAATTTATTATTATCGGAATAATGTTAACAGGTATCATTTATTATTGAAAAACTTATTTAACACTGTAGCACATATGAAGTTTTTTGCAAATATGGTGTTCCTTATAATTTTTAAATATTCATTAAATGTTTGTTAAATTTTGCACACTAAAAGCATTATGTTTTAGACCACTTTACAACACCGCCAACATTTGTTATCGTGCTCAGATGTTATGTTATTTCGTATCTTATAAGTCTACAAAACTAAATTTTGTGTTTGTTTTGATATCGCAACACCTGTATAATCAATATAAATATTAAACATTGGATGCGCCTCTAAAGTTCTAAGAACACAATAATGTTAAGGGATTTGATTACGTGGGTCTTAAATACCTATCTCGGGAAGTATTTAGAAAATTTGAACTCTGCTCAACTGTCTGTTGCACTGCTATCAGGTATAAAAGCACACAAATACTATTACGAAATAAATTACTCATATTCATCAAACAAACTCTAGGAGAAGTCGAGCTTGAAAACATTCCCATCCGAAAGGATGCGCTGCGCTCGTTCGGCCTGCCCATAGAAGTCTCAGCGGGTAGCATAGGTAAAATAAAGCTCCAAGTGCCGGTTCGTCAATTTCGTACGTCGCCATGGTGTATTTCCGTGGAAGGGCTCTTCTGCGTCGTCACGCCAAAAGACTTCGAGAACTGGGATGAAGTGAAGGAGAAACTCCTTAACCTGGAGTATAAGCAATCTCTGTTAGACACTGCAGAGGCTAAATGGCGCTCTGAAAAGGGAAAGCAAATAGAATCGTATTACTTTTCTTCGTATAATAATTGGCTCAAGTATGGCACAAATATGGCAACAAATATCATTGATAATATTGAACTTAAAATATTTGATGTTCACTTTCGATACGAAGATGTTGTTGATGTGGGCAAAAGCAAAATTGCGACTGGCATCAAAATTGGTTCTCTAACTGCACAAAGCTGTGATTGCAACTGGGCGACGGGCTCCAATAAATCGGTTAATAACGATATTAATTTTAAGGTCGTTGAGCTGAAAGAGCTATCCCTATATTGGGACACATTGCACGATGACATCAAATGTCAGAAGTTCACAAATCAAGAGCTACTAACCAATATGAATCCAACATGTCAACTGCGCCCACATGAGTTCATAATCAAGCCCATTGGTGCAATAGCCAGATGGAAGCGAGAAAAATCTCCCCAAGTGATACGCTCAAAAGACAAACCGCGAGTTTCTTGTGATCTTCTAGTACCTGAAGTTATAATTGTTCTCAGCAAGGTAAGCTAAATAGAATTGAATTTAAATAATTAATGCAGCTTAATTCCGCTTCAGGCGCAACATGATGAGATACAGGATAAATTAGCTGGAATTCAACAGATAAAAGAGATTTGTCAATTTCGTTTGAAAAGACCAACCTACAGTATTAAGGAAAATCCAAGAATGTGGTGGAGATATGTTCTCATTTGTTATGGCCGTGAACTTAAAACAAAAGATGAAAAGTTTCTAACACTCAAAGAGAATTTGCGTTACATGAGAATTTGTCAAGCAGTTATATTGAATCCCAACGAAAACTTGTCCAACGACGACAAAGAATTTAAAGCGTATATTGAGAGTGATAGAAAAGTTGCAGATCTAATCATAATGCGCAGAATATGCTTTGATAAAGTGTACTCAAAAGGTATTTCAATTAAGTCTGACCAAGTCAAAGGCAAGGGAATGCTATTTCATTGGTTTCCCAACTGGATGGGCTGGTATGGAAACAATTCAACAGCCTCTGCAGAGCAGGATGAATCATTACAAAATCTAGAAGATGATATTTTGGTTGCACTCGAGCACTCACTGCAGAGTCAGTCTCATATGAAATGTGATACAATATTTGGATATTTTACTATTGAACTCCTGAAGGGTTTCATCATCTTACAAACCGAAGAATCGACAAAGAGCGATGATAGCAAATCAATAGAAATGCAATTCAATAATTTATCATCATTTCTACAGTTAAATCCCTTATTTACTTCATATGTGGTTGGCATATCGTTGGGAGAAGTTTATTTATTAGATAAAACCAACAAGGATTCAAAGCATTGTTACTTAATCAAACCTCAGACCGATCGATCGACAGCAATAAATCCGCCGGATATAAAACAATTGGTTAATTCCACAAACAAACAGGACCCATTATTTCAATTACAATATGAAAATGATGATCAGTTACAATACCGCCTTATAATTAAGTCAAAAAGCTTAGATTTGATATACAATCAAGATGCCGTTGATTGGTTTTTAAATTTCTTTACTCCTTCCAATAAAGTGCAGTATTTAATTAGAGATAAATATAGTAGTGAAAAAGAGCGAAAGTTTCTAAGTTCTTGGAATCAAATGTTTCTGGGAAATGAGGTAAGGACTTTTATTATAATAATATTACTTTTATTATATCAGAGATTTTTTCTTATTTTCAGGCGAATAGAAAGATTTGGACTTTTGAAATTGAAGTATTTGCACCACGAATAATATTTTTGGAAAATTACAAAATCGAAAATTCGCTGATGGTATTAATGGATTTTGGCAAACTCCAATTAATCAAATCGGACTTTCAAAAGAAAGCGTCAACATTTATATCGAAGACAGAGGATACTTGCCCAACAGAGGAGAATGGGGCCATCGATGATGATGATGATGATGATGAAACCTATTTAACTCCCTGCTCAACTCCACCTGGCTCAGAGAAAAGTGGTTCAGAATCGCCAACCATAAATGAAAATATGTTCAAGGACTTATTGAACAAGAACACTCAACTGGAATCGGCATTGCATAGTAAAATCTATAATACATATACTATCAATTTTACCAATTTGCAAGTATTAGTATGCAAATACCAGGAGAGATGGCAAGCGAGCTTGAAGACTTCTTCGAATTTTCATTTAATTGATAAATTCAACATCACGCTAACAGTGGAACAGCGTATTGTCTTCACATCAGACCCGGAATATCCATCTCTCACTCTGTTCGGCACGTGCCCTATGATATTAATACATGGCAATGAGAACAAAATAAAACACTTTCTAGCTATAATTCATCCAATTACCAACAATCCCAGGCTAAAGAATAATAAACCAACAAATGAAACCGAAAGTCGCATACCAACAGATGATACTAGTCAGCCCTACTATAATGCAGATGGTAGTCATTTGGTTGTTCAGTTTGGAATTGGGCAACTCATCATCGAAATGCAATCTAAAGAGAAGAGCATTGCTGAATTGCAAATTATTGGAGCTAGAGCCGGTCTGGTG